TATATGTATATAATTGTGAATAGGTTTTTTAAATAAACTTTTTTTATGCGTTTACACATGTATTAGAGTTAGGATTAGTAATATGCAGGCATAAGTTGTAATTTAAGCGTAAAATAAACCATTGTTGTTTTTTGTTTGGTATTTAATAATGATTATAGTAAACGTTTATATTTTTTTAAATAAATCTACAAACAATTACGCAGTGGTAATGTTTATATTAATAAAACAAAAATGAATAGGTTACCATAAGTCAAAGCTTACTCCCCAATTTTTTTTTTTTTTATAAATATGCTCATATGCGCGTTATTTTTAGTTTTTTAGTTAGTCGATGTATTAAATATTTGGAGTTAAGTTTTTTAATAATATTTTTCTGCTAATTGCAATCAGCAATAGCTTCATATACGCAGTTGTATATAATATTTAAGCTTATAAGTAAAATATGTATGTCAATTATTTGTTTTAATTAACTTATACAGCGCTCATGTAGTTGTTAATTGAGGCTTGAGTTTTACTAAACTAAGTTTTGGTGCAGTATATATATATATTTCTTTTTTTATAGAATCAGTGTATTCAGCTTAACTAATTTTTGGCCAGCTTACCAAGTTTTCTTATAAATAATTTATCTTTATACATAGAAATATGCATTAATACGTATATATATGTATTTTTTTTATTAATAACTATTACATTATTTGTAATATGTAAATGTAAAGGTGTATTCACACACCATATTTCATTTTCCTACACTTTTCTCTTCTATCTTCACTACCTTGCCACTTTTATAATCTGCCTACAAAACATGCGTTTTTTGCATATACAAGCTATGCAACTATTTTTCTAACACACAGTTATTGTGTTGTTGTTGTTGTTATTATATTTTGCTTTTATAACACATTTATATAGTTAACTAAATAAACCATTTACCAAGTTGTGTAATATAATTTGCATTTAACTAAATAAATCCATTAAATTGTATGTGATACATATTTATTTGTTTGCATACATGCATAAATATTATTGAATCTTCATAATTTGACACAAAAAGTTACAGCTTTAACTTTTTATTTTTTCAAATAACACGTTATAACTTGGAATTAACATTTGAAACACGTAACGAACAGCTACAAAGAGTATACATATATACGTATATAAGTATATAACGCTATATATATTTATTTGGCAACATATATTTGTTTTGAAAGTTGTTAGCCTTGAGCAAAAAGTATGTTTCTTAACAGTTTGTTAATAAAGCTGAATATAAAACACAAATTTTTTAAACATAATTAAAAAT